CCTCCTCCAAGGTGCTGCTTTCTGGAGGAGACCTGGGTCTAGGGAAACTTGAGGGGTGTGGAGCACAAACTCTGATTCCCCTTCAGTCCTCAGAATTGCTTGAGCCAGCGTGCTCAGCATCCCTGGTTCCAGCTCCAGCTCCTCCTCTGACAGTACGAGGCTCACGCTGAGAGATGAAATTGGAGTGGAGGAGACAGTGATTCCACTGCTGGTGCCCACTTCTGGACTGAGCAGAGGTGGTGCACGTGCAGGGATGTCAGGTGCAGACACTGCTCCCACCTCCTTGCTTCCACTGGCAGCACTGATGTCATGGCTGCTTGGGAAGAGAATGTGTCCGTGTTTGGGATGGGCGGGGCTCACAGCTCTAGCTCTCCCCCAACCCCCTCTTCCTCCCCTGCCAGAAGACCTGGCACCTGCTTTTCCAGGATGCTTCATATTGATGTTTCCTGTGCTGCAAAAGGTCTCTGTGTGTGTGTCAATCCTTTTGTATTGTGCATTTTATTCCCTCTGTTGTGTGTGTGCACTGGCCTCTTCTTTGGTTGTTTGCTTCAGTGTTAAGAGTTTTGTAAAAATTATGTGCTGCCTGTCTGTCTGTCTTCTTCTCCTCTGAATATGTGATTTTTCTTTATATTGTGTGTCTGTGTGCGTGCATGCAAGCAATGTGTGCCTCCCTGCACAGTGATGGATCACACTGGCAAGGAAAACACAACTTTCTTTTTTCAAAGTTTCCAAAAAAGAGAGCAAATATAAATTCAAAGAAATGAATTGAATAGTAATACTAATAGTAATTGAATAGAATAGCTAAGCTAAGCTAAGTTAAATCCTACCCAATCCTTTCTAACAAGAAAAAGGAGAAGGCAAGTTCAACTACTGAATACAGCCAGCAAGCTGCAGTGCATCAGTCTGAGGGTTCCTTTCTCACAGTTCCTGGGGCAGAACAAGCTGAGGAAAAGGCACAGCATGCCTCCAAACAGAGGCTTTTATGCTGCTTGTAGTTTCACCCCACAGACACTGTCATTGGAAAGGCAGCCAGGGAGAAATCCTTCTCACTGGCCACCTACATGTCAGTCTTCCCCCACCCCTTCACCTTCCACTCTCCCTCTCTCTTCTAACTTTCAGTTAAGCTGTCCAAAGTGTCTGAAGCATCCAAAGCACTTCAGATGCTCTGAACAACTTCAGACAGCTTAATTGAGCCCGCGCTTTGATCTGGGCATGCCACTTCAGACGCCAAAGCGTCTGAAGCGGCACCAGATCCGAAGTGCAATCTGAAGACTGGCACAGCCCTAATATCTGGTGGGGGCGGCAGTACTTGGAGTTGTTCCTAAATATGATTTGTTTGACAGAAGGAGGGAAGACTGAGGGCAGGCCAGTGGTATCATGGGAATTAGGTCTGAATTCCAAGCTCAGGCAGAAGCAGGAGGAACTCATGCCCTGAGAGAGAAAATTGAATGTCTGTTTCTCGATGTCTCTGTGTCACCACACACCTTTGCTTCACAGGCAGAGGACTCATTGCCCAGAGTCCCTGTCCTCCAGATGAATGTGTTTGTAAATTAGGAGAAGGTGAGGCTGTGAGTAATCTGTTGAGTGCTTACAGCAATATCAACTCTCTCTCCAGTTCTATCAGTCTACCTGACAACAGCCTGCCAGTGGCATATCATACCTGCAATGAGTCTGTTAACTGACAGCTGAAGTGATGTCTCCAGGGAATGCAGTTCCTCTCAACCTTGATGGAGAGGTGTACATACATCAGCAAGAAAGGGGCTCATCCCTTTCTCCACACACTCCAGCACTTCTTTGCACTCCCAGCACTTTCCCCTGAGACCTCAGCTTTATCTTAGAGCTCCTTTGTTTTTCTGGCAGTCTCTTCCTGCCCACGGGTAGCCCTTAGATGCATCCTGCCTCATCCTTTCCAGTGCATTCTGGGTAATCCCCACTTGCCAGCTTTGAAGTATTAGATAGAAGTATATAACATACAATGCTCCCCTGATCTTCCAGTGAACCCTGGCTGGAGACAATGGGATGCTCACATGCTCCACTTTGATGTCCGAAAACGAGCCTCTTTAATCCATAACCTTTTGAGAGGAAATAATATTCTCTTATTCCATGTGGGATAGCTCTGATTAGGACAGGAACAAAACCACATGCTTCCTGAGGGATGTTGCTGAGGATGGCGATTATGAAATAATCTCTGGCTGTGGCCTAATCACAAAGGCCCAGATTGTGCTACCTCATTTCATAGAAGACCAGACCCTGGTCTCAGTTAAACTAGTGAAAATTAGGGGTCATTTCACTGTCTTCAATGGAAATGCTCCTGATTTACACCAGAGTGATTGAAGTCAGAATCTGGGCCAGTGAATAGTCCCACTGTAATTCAGATAGGCATGTAGGCTTGATTTTCCTGTCCCATACTCTGCTTTTACCCTGGTGTAACTGTATTGACCCCAGCAGAGTTGCTCTTTATTTATACTAGTGTATGTGAGAGGAGAAACAGGACCGGTGACATCAATGGGATATTCAAAGAGGAGGACAGTACCTCATGTGAATAAGAATCACAAAACCTGGCCCAAAAGGAAGACACCATAGGACCCTGCCTTACCCTGTGGCCTTCCCCCTTGTGTTAGCATTTACACCTCAGGTAAATGATTATACTATGGCTCACCACTCCAGTGCCTTGCCCTATCTGGCCCAGTGATCATTTCCCTTACTTTGCTGTAAATCAAAAGTAACACCAGTGTAGAATCATAGAAAATGAGGGTTGGAAGGGACCACAGGAGGTTATCTAGTCCAACCCCCTGGCTCAAAGCAGGACCACCCCCAACTAGATCATCCCAGAAAAAGCTTTGTTTATCCAGGTCTTAAAAACCTCCAAGGATGGAGATTCTACCACCTCTCTGCCTAAACTGTTCTAGTGTTTTACTAGCCTCCTAGTGAGAAAATTCTTCCTGATACCTAACCTAAATTTCCTTTGCTGCAACTTGAGGGTGTTGCTCCTTTTTCTGTAGTCTGCCACCACTGAGAAAAGTCTAGCTCCATGCTCTTTAGAATCTCCCTTCAGGTAGTTGAAAGGTTACTATTTTAATCCTCTGTCTTCTCTTCTTTACACTAAATAAGCCCAGTTCCCTCAGCCTCTCCTCAGAAGTCATGTCCCCCCAGCCCCTTCACCATTGTTGTTGCCCTCCACTGGATTCTCTCCAATTTATCCATATCCTTTCTGCAGTGGGAGGTCTAAAAATAAACACACTACTCCAAATGTGGCTTCACTAGTGCTGAATAGAGGGGAATAATCACTTCCCTGGCCCTACTGGAAACATGCCTACCAATGCAGCGCAGTATGTCATTGGCCTTCTTGGCAACAAGGGCACACTGCTGGCTCATATTCAGCTTATTGTCCATTGTAACCAGTGTCCAGCTTATTGTTCACTGTCCAGTGTGCAGGTTTGCACAAGGGGAGAAGATGGGAGAGAAAGTGTTTGTAAATCTTGCCTTTGCTCCCAAAGTTTGTTAGCCACAAAACTGAGACACAAACATGTCTGGAACCTAGTTGGGTTTTTTTGCAAAACCTGAACCATTCCATAAGGTGTGCACCCCTGTAAGTGTGTGTGCACATGCAGTCGCCCTCTTAACTATACATCCTCCTTCCTAATTGACACCAAACGTAGTCTTCTACACTACAGCTTCCAGCATGCATACAGCCTGTTCTCCTTAAGAGTCTGCATAGTTAATTTACTACAGGATGTAACAAACAGGTATCCTGGGACCGGGCCAATCATTGGCCCACCCACTTGTCTTTGGGCAAACCGCTTGCCTACTTTGCCCACCATGCCTTAAATGATACAATTGAATGATGATAAGGCAGGAGGCTACCCATTTACTTGCCCTGATGCCAAGGGCTTATATATATATGGCTCCGACCTCCTCTATACCATGTCTCATGCCTCACAGATGACATCCATGTTACTCCAGTGCCTCAAACTGTGATCCATGGTCCAGAGTTTCACATGGGACTCTCACTCCCCATTGGAGCTTGCAGTCACTGTACCCTAGCACTGGGCTCTCCTTCAGTCCATTGCTCTGGAGTCCCAGCCCCACCCCCTGCCCTACACTGGGCCTCATCCTCTGCCCCACACTGGGTTGCAACCCCTTTATCCCCTCACCCCAGGAGCCTCACCCATAGCTCGCCACAGGCTTAGGTCCCCACTCCCCTGGAGCCACACACTTGGCTCCGTAATGCCACCTCAGAGCTCACAGTGAGTCTGGGCCATTGTTTTGTTCTTCAGGGTGTGAGCTAGACTGATCTCAGTGGAAGACAGAGAGGATAAAAATAGTAGCCTTCAACTACCTGAACCAGGTTCCAAAGAGGATGGAGCTAGACTTTTCTCAGTGGTGGCAGATTACAGAACAAGGAGCAACAGTCTCAAGTTGCAGCAAGGGAAGTTTAGGTTAGATATTAGGAAGAATTGTCTTACTAGGAGGGTAGTAAAATACTGGATCAGTTTACCCAGAGAGGTGGATCCTTGGAGGTTTTTAAGACCTGGCTGAATAAAGCTTTGGCTGGGATGATTTAGTTGGGGATGGTCCTGCTTTGAGCAGGGGATTGGACTAGATGACCTCCTGTGGTCCCTTCCAACCCTCATTTTCTATGATTCTGTGATCTCTTGAAACTGAAAGAGGATTGGAACACTATATATGCCTGTACTTTGTATGAGGGAGAGTCTGTGAAGTGGCACTGAAGTACTGTTATAAGACAGGGTATCACTATGGGGATGGGAAAGATGAGCTGGGTGGGAGGCACTGGAGGAAAAGCAAAGCCAGATGTTGTCAGTTTGTCAGTATCCAACTGAATGATGAGAATCTAGGAATGGGAGAAATGTCAGGAGGTGCTGTGTCCTGCCTGCACTGTGGGAGCAGTCCCTGCACTTCTGCCACCTACAGTTTTTGCTATCTATTCCAATTTTCCAGCTAGGAATCTCATCTTTAGCATTCTCTCTTCTGCTTATTAGATGGCTCCTGGCTCAACATGGCTGCTCTCCCATCTACAGAACTTGCGCAGAGCCTCAAAACACACTTCTCCTCTTCTTCTGAACCCATACTGGACTTCAAGACAGATGTAACTGCAGGACTTACAGGTAGGAATGACTGCCAGTTCAGGATGATATGCCATTTGGGATGGGTACATAAGGACAAGTGCAGATCATTTCTAATATCCCAGGTCCCACTGCTATAGGAAACATGATTCACAAGGTATCAGTGGAAGCCCCTACATATTTGGAGCCAACTGCACCTGTAATAAAGTTCTTGGTTTTATTATTAGTATTAGCAATCATCTTTCTTAATAGCTAGTTAGCTAGCAGGAATATTCTTGCTGGTATTATGGTGCTGCCTGGGAGCCTTAATGAAACTCAGGGATCTGCTACAGTATGTGCTATATAAATTCTAATATTATAAAAGCTTTAATCAGTCTGTCTGCCTGTCTGTCGGTCCATAACACTTAATTCGCACTCTGATTGGCCGACTAAAACAACCAGTCAGAGTGCGAATACAGTGCTTGGACAGGAGGTGGTGGCACAGCAGAGTGTCGCCATGATGGCAGGGACACAGGGGATGGAGGCAGCGGCCCCTGGAGGTGGCAGCAATGAAGCAGATGGAATGGCGGGGAGAGGCCAGCAGTGGAGGGGTGAGTCCCAGATGCACACCCCACTCTACACGTTCACCCTCACGTCCCCTCACACTGCCATACATGCAGACCTCCA